ATAGGAGAAAGAGGAAAGAATGCAATGGCGTGAAATTTGACTATGTCTGATCTGTAAGAATAATTCAGCGAGTGCTATGGAGCACATTAAGTCAGAAGTTGCTGCCCTGGGCAAAAGTCTGTCTGGAAGTTAAACTGAAGCACAGCCAGGAAATGCTTCAATCTCACATCCTCCCAAAGACACAAAAAAAGCACAAAGAAAAACTAAGATAGCTATGCACTGATGTGTGTGGAGAAGGCAAGGTGTGGGGCAGCAGTATAAATTAGGACTCATGGCTTCAGACGGGCAAACATCTCCTTCAGAGTAAATGAAGGGAGATGCAAGATTTCGTCTACCAAAGACAAAGTGAGCAAGACATACAGATAGAGAAAACAGCAGTCTGACTTGCTGTCCTCCAACTTGCTGAGGAGATACCCCCAACCTAATGAAACCTTGAAAATACAACTGAGTTGCTCTGTATATACACTGAATACCCAACTGGAAAAGTGTTTAGTACTGCTAACATACATATTTCACAGCCCAGAGGAGGGCAACAAAAACAATTAAAGGGAAGAAGCTCCTCTCCTTTGAAAACAGGCTAAGAGACCTGGGGTTGTACAGCCTGGAAAAAAGACGACTGTGGAGATCTTATAGCAGCCTTTCAATACATAAAGGGAAAACATAAGAAACATGGATAAAGACTTTTTACCAAGGCCTGTAGTGAAAGGACAAAGGGTAAGGGCTTAAAACTGAACAACAATAAATTTAGATTAGCCGTAAGGAAGAAACTTATGATGAGGGTGGTGACACCAAAATAGGTCCAGAGAACTTGTGGGTGCCCCCATCAATGGCAGTGTTCAAAATCAGGGTAGACATGGCACATTAGTGGAAGCTGCCCCTGCTTAACAGAATGACAGCATTAAAAATCAAACTGAAGCCAAACCTGCTCTGATGACTGCAATGACCTGTCAAGGATTGGCCTTAAAGAAGCCAAAGGAAAATAAAAGAGCAAATTAGCTCATTAACTCAAAGTAAGATCTAAATTTCTAAGATGCCTCTTGGTATGGAACATTCCACCTGTGTCACTGGCAGGAAGTATGGAAGACAGAAAATTACAATCAAAGGCAGTAATACCCTGATGTGTTTTCGTTTGTAACCATGTAGTACTCTCAAGTGACATTACAGAATGTAAGGGAAGGAACTAGAAATGTTAATTTCGCAAGAAGTTCATCTTAATGAATACAACTACTATGTAAGCACTGTTTGCTTGGAAAGGAAAATGGTAATAGCAACTTTCCAGGAAGTCTCTTCAGGTGTTCAGCTCCTGCTGAACAAGCAGACAAGTGACACGTCTGCAGCAGATGTTCCTTCTATTGTAAAGATGCTTTTGCCATTACAGCTTGGAAGTTCACCATTCTCCCAAATATTAGCAAGTCACTGAGATGATGGAGGTCTTCAATTTTTGAGCAATGCTGGAGAATGCACAGGAAGTCAGTGATCAGTTTATGTAGCCAAGGCTTCTGGACTGTATCAGGCCTACTGATGGAGTCGTTCCCTGTGTAGCTTGGTCTTCCTTGAAAACAGTTCTTCATTCACTTCTATTCTTGACAGTAGATTATCAACGACTAAATAGTTTTTGTTGGTGCTTAAAACGGTTGCTTAATTACTTAAATTTTCCTTATAACAAAAGTTAAAGCAGCTAATGGGCTGCACAGTACCTGCGGGGGAAACAATCTGAAAAAAGGATAAGCCACTAAGACATGATTCAACACTTGACAAATCTCAGATTGCAGGAGAAGGGACTTGGAGGAATTTATTCAATCTTTTGCCACAGAGCAGATGACAGAAGAGGAAAAGAAAAGATCATGAAAGATTTACTATACCAAGACTGTGCTGGAAAACTCAACTTTCCTTTCTAAAATTAGCAAGTTAATTCTTGCTCTCAGAGGACTATGAGATTCCTCTCATTGTTTTGGCAATTAGATATTACGCTGTTCTTTCCTGTCCCATGAAAACTGAGGGGAAAAAAAAAACAAACAAAAAAAAGCCCACAAAACTTCAACCAGAATCCTAACAGTAAACTAAAGTAATTTGAAACACTGAAAGGGACTGGTAGTACTTATGTGCCTCATGTGATAAGTATGTGTCCTACTTTGGTTCCATATCTTGGAAAACGTGGCAAGAAATCAGAGTAATAAGGGAAAGCAGGTGACAAAAAAGTTCCTTGTGTACTAGGCATGTGAAGAGGTTTCTTTCATGAAGTGCTCACAAAACAGCATATACTAAACTCACACAGTACATGCAGTTAATAAATGTTAACTTTGTTAAGAGAGTTAACACTTGAGTTTCATGAGTTGAGATGAATATTAATGTCTCAGCTGAAAAATAAATTATTTAATTTCTAAATTAATATAATCAATTAATAAAACATTAAACCAACCACTAATGACTTGCAGTAGGTGTGAATTAGGGTGTTTTCTAATCCCTGGGAAAATGTTTTTTTAAAAAGTGCCCTTTACAAAGAGACAGTTATTGTGGAAGAATTTTAGTTAGCATTTTCCACAGCTTTTCAAGATTCATGTAACATGGATTAAAATACTTATCTATAAATTCTAAACTCACAAAATGGCCATGGTACCCCTCTGCATTCCTTGGGACACATTTCTGCCTGGAGGAGAGATGCAAACTCCCAGAACAGCCCACTCACCAGAGACCTGTCAGAATCTTTTTGACACGAATGCTCATCTATGGGTTTCCTACAGCTCTTCAGATGCTTAGAAAAATTAGAAGAGACAAGAACTCTTTGTTCCATAACCTAAGACAGTGCCAACTTACTGTTCCATCAATTAATGTGATTTCCAGCTCCTCTACCAGGCCCACAATAGCAAGAAGCTTCAGAAAGCACATGTATACTCTTCTCTTCTCTTCCACTATGTATACTCTTCCACTGATACTGGCTACTCTTAGTTGTCTCCAAAGACATAAGGTATGGGTTCAACTCAAAGCTGCGTAAAATGACAACAATAGTAAGAATCTGTTTGAACCCTTTGTGCTGGCACAAACACTGAAAGAATGACCAGAAACCAGTCACTTCTTCTTTTGCCAGACTAGTTTTAACAAAAATCAACCAACAAACCAACCAAGCCTGCATTAATACTAATCAGTTCCCCAGTCTGGTTCAAATAAACCACACACACCTAAAGAAAACACCTGAAAGAACTCTGAACCAAAGCGCTGGTTTCTGACTCTTCTGACTCAGTTGCAATTTGGCAACGTATTATTAGCTTCAAGAGTCTACAAAATTCTCACTTCAGAAATACTTTTCAAGAAGTACATCACAGATGGTATGCAGTACTACTTTTCATTTCCTCACAGGCAGTACTGAAACAGAAGTTACATTGCTAAATTCTGAAGAGATGAACAGCTTCACAATGTGTGGACCAAAGTACTTTGCTGTTATACGTTTTTCTTTTTTTTTTTCCCCTCCCCCAAGTACAATAGGTAAGGATAAAGGGTAACTCTTAAAACACATAATTAACTACTGAGACTTTAAAGGATTCATCTATCTGCTATTGTCAGATTTTATTCTTTTTCAAAAGAGCCCAGAAGTCTCTTTAGCTAGTATTTGGCTATTTCAACTATAAACCATCAGCTGATTTAGAAAACAAAGGCAGTAATAAAACTGAACCAAAGAAGATTTTTGCGTTCCTGCCATAGCTGGTAGCCTGCATGCCACATCAGATGCTTAGTAATATTTAACACAGCAATGAGAGAGAAGCTAGGGTAGGAGAAGGAGCAGCAGGCATCAGAAAGGGAAGGCAGACAGCAAGAATACTCAGGGGTTGCAGGAAAAAGAATCCAAGGTTTAATTGTTTTCCCACAATTGCTTGTCTGAATACTTCACAAGTACTGACCTTCTAGTTAGAAATTGTTTCTAATTGTCTCCTACTGCAAAAATAGTATGCAGATCTGAGTGGTCCATAAAAGTTTCTGTAATTTATTTCATTTTCGTATTTGCTGCAAATTGGTCTTCTCCCTTCGCATTACACTTACAATACATGCAAGTAACAAAATTTTTTAAAAAGCAGTTCCCAACTTTTCCATTCAAATATATCTGTTTGAGGTCAAATGAATTCAGGACCAAGAAATACTTCAAGGTATGCTTCCACTTCCCAACCCACTGTTTCTTATTTGCTCTATCTTGAGTGATTTCAACAAATGGATGGGCAATGGTCAAGCCAAAACTTCACAGAGAAGCAATCAACTCCACATGAAAAAAACCATGACAAGGCTTTATACCAGTGACCACTTATTTGAGAAATGTAAGAGGATATTCAAAGTAGTCCTGGAGCAATGAAGAGCAGGCTTATAATTCTTAACAGGAAAAAATGAAATGGGAAGTGGCATTCACAGTAATTTATATATGCAGCTGAATAAGTCTGAACAACAGTTGTCCTAAGATGTCTTACTTGCTGCAACTTATATTTTAAAGCAAATGATCCACTATTTCTACAGTATTTTATGTACAAAGATGGACAACACTTTAAGAAGAGTAAAATATAGTCACTCTGATGCAACAGTCCTACATTTGCACAAGGTTAATGAACACTAGGATTCTGTCTACAAATAATTTGCAGAAAGTCAAGCATTTTCACAAAGGTTCAAAAATGCAACTAGAGATTTTAAGGTACAATAATTAAGTTCTAAAAATCAACAGAAGATGCCTCTTAGAATAAATAAGACTTCATACATTTTGTGTAATTAATTCTTACTTCACAGTAACTGAAAAATGTTTTGCAAATACTTCAAAGTACATATACATCAAATCATAGAATGTTTTGGGTTGGAAGGGACCCTTAAGGCAATAATCTGCAATAAGTGGTCCTTCAAAGCTTTCTGAATACACGAAGTCAGAGGTGTGAAAAATAGTAAAATGAACACCAGTGATGCATTTCTAACCACTCAGCTCCTAAGACTGCAACCACCACCTTGTCATTGTTTAAGGGCCACTTTCAACTTACATCTATTTAGGAAATTATCAATGTTCTTGTTCTTCCTCAGCGCCGGATAATCCAGATCAAGGACCAAAGAATTCAAGCCATCCTGAAAACAAATAAAAATAAGTTGAGTTCTAAAATCTAATGTAGTTACTACATCACTTTTTTTAAGAGTCGCAGGCTGAGACAGGTTATATATTATTCAAACAGGTATTACATTCCTAGTAGGCAGATAAAACAAGATCTCAAGTATACTTATACCTCATTCACCCCAAAGCAGTTAAAATACCATTTGGTATTGGACCAAGTTGGCTTAGAAACATTACAGATACATCACCATCCCTTAGTGGCACTGAGACTTAAGCTGGAGTAACACTTTTAATCTTAACCAGTAGTACTCTTTCTGCTTAAACACAGACTTAATATTCTCTGTTCAATCGTACTGTCTCATTTTTTTTCTACACTTTACATTTTTCCTGTGCATTTGGAAACTTGACATTTGCATTACCCACATTATTACTTGTTCACTGCTCTAAGAAAAGAGCTCGTTTTTTAAGGTTTTTGAACCTCAGCAGGGCACAGAGATTTTAGTTAGAGACGACATCGTGTTTATTAATTAATAAGCAGCCAACAGCCTTTCAGCCTTCTTAGTACCTCACGCATGTAAATAAGGCCACAGCTAACAATCCTCTTTTTTGTTTTCTAAATATGCCTGGCAAGTGATCACTTCTGGTTCAAATCTCATTAATACAGTTATTCTAATAATATATCTACTGGGATAGACTTAAAGACAGGGCCTGAGATTATAAAACACGTTCTGAATGCCGGGCAGTACAAAATATGTTACATATACAAATAAGATGACCTCATTTGTTGAAATGTCGCTTCTCAGTTTCACCACAAAAAAACATTCATATTTAAGCACATTTTCAATATTGAGAGATGGAATTGCAGTACTTTTTTTTTTTTTTTTTTTAATTAGTTATTTCTGCCTCCAGCAAAGGAAGTATTTTGGAAAATATCAGTAGCAGACACCAGACCATGCATGGAAAACAAGGCTTGCTCAAGAAATTACAGGACAGATATATTTGTGTGATTTCCTATACAGACGACTAAAGGTCAGAGACAACAAGCTTGCCTTTCCTCTGCTTAAATTGGTACGAAAATATCATTAGCATCTCACTAGAATCACCTTTGAGGTTCCCAAGAGAATTTCATTTATTGTATTTGACATAAATCTAGAAAATCAGACTTGCAGATGTACTAAAATATTGCATGAAACATAAAACTTCAAGGCTTCAAGTTGCTTTGAAGGCAAAAGCTCACAAAAGGTCCATCTTAACAATTAGGAAATCAACCAAAGGAAGCAGGAGGCCTGTACAGATGAGTAAGGAACTCCCAACTACACTCAGACATCAAATAGAAGTGTGCATGAGGCAGGAACAAGGGCAGGATACTGGGAGGATGAAGCTGACATCCCAAGGTGTAAGACCACATTAGGAAACTCAAGGCTGATGTGCAGATGAGTTGGAAAAGTTTGAAAAAGGCAACAAGAAAGGGTTCCACAAGTACATAAGCAGCAGAAGACTCGGAAGACGTGGGCCTGCTGCTGAAAAGAGCAGGGCAAGCTGGTAACAAAAGGTAAACAAAAGACAAAGGCACTCAAGGCATTCTTTGCTTCAATCTTTGCTAGTAAGATCAGCCTTCAGGAATCTTAGGTACCTTGTACCAGAGGAATTGGGAAGACTGAAGTCAGGAAGACTTTCCCTTGGTGAGGACCAAGTGCCAAGACCCAGTCCTCCATGACAGGAATGCCTGAACAAACTGGACTCACGCAGGTACATCTGTGATGGGATGCACCTGCAAGTGCTGAAAGAGCTGGCCAATGCCATGCAGGGGCCTTTGAAAAGGTAATGGCAATGAAGAGAGGCTACTGAACGATGGAAGATATTTGTCTTCAATTAGGGCAAGGAGGAAGATTTTGGGATCTAAAGGCTGGATAACCTCACCTTAATTCCCAGGAAATGGGAGTCCTCCTGAAAACCATTTCCAAACACGTGAAGGACAAGAAGGTGATTAGGATTAGTCAGCATGGATTTATGAAGGGGCAATCATGTTGGCGAAGGTGACAGCCCACTACAATGAGGCAACTAGCTTGGTGGATGGGAGAAGAACAGTTGTTGTTTACCTCAACTTCAATAAGACATTTGTCATTGTCTTCCACAATGTTCTCATAAACAAGCTGATGAAGCACAGGTTACACAAATGGGTGGTGAGAGGACTGAAAACTGGCTGAGAGACCAGGCCTGGAAGATTCTGATCAATGGCCAAAGTCCAGCTGGAGGCCAGTCACTAGCGGTATACCCTGGGGCTCGATACTGGGGCCAGCAACTTTTAACAACTTCATTAACCACCTGCTGCACCCTGCAAACAAAACAAACAAACAAACCAAATTAGGGGGAGTGTCTGACACACCACAGGGCTGTGCTGGCCTCATTCAGAGGGGCCACAAAAGGCTGCAGAACTGGACAGAGAGGACATGTGAGGAAACGCATCCAAGGAGGAATAACCCCAGGCAAAGGATTCACCTTTTAAACTGTTTTGTATTGTTTTACGTCACTTTTCAGAACTTCCTTTCGAAAAGAAATATAGTGTTACTAAGCCCAAAGAGAAGGCAATGAATAATACACAGTATCAATTGTGAATTACTTTAATTAAAGCCATTACTTGAGTCTTGATTTTAAACCTGAAAGACCTATCAAGGAGAAAGGAGTGACGGCCTAGGATATCATACTCTCCTTTCAGACAGACTGAAAACTCAGCACCTACTATTAAATTTGATGAAGTTTTCATGGACGATACAATAAATCTAAAACAAAGTACTGAAGTTGTTAAGTACTTGTGGATTAGTCAATGCTTGGGTTGTCCAATGACCTGGACATTCCCAACGGAAAGTACTCTGAGTTAAGACTTCCTGCAAAAATCACATAATAGAATACGTAATTCCAAACTCTATTTAGCAAGCACCGGCTTCCAAAAAAGGACTTGTCATTCTAGCAGATGTAGCAGAGCATGTCAGCAGAAACACACCTCTTCGCCTCGCAGCATGTAGGAAAGGACAGCATTGAATGACACAATGGAATACACGCAGGCCATGTTTTACAATTTTACCTAGCACAGCGAAGTCCCGATTCTAACCAGCAACACATGGCTCTAAATACATATGTCTTAAATTCATATTTCCATTAATATATTTGCAATGTAACAGCATTAATGAGACTGTAGCTTACAGTAGCAACTTACAGTATCAAAATGAGGGCCTTTGTTACTCTCTAGAACCCCTTAAAGTAATTAAAAGTTTCACAGTAGGTCTAGAGTATACTTTGATGGTGAATTACAGGTCTCATCTGCACAAATTCCATAGGAAAAACTAGTTCTCTAGAGCTCCGAGCACATTCTTACTCTATTTTGTCCTCCACAGTCAACTACATTATTTGTCAGTCTTTTGCCATTCTCTTTTCGTTGCTATTGAAACAGAATTTTAATAGTCACAATTAGGCATGCATTTTAAGGGAAAAGATGTAAAAGCACTCAATTTTATCACAAACTAATGAGGCATATTTTTTTTGGGGGGGGTGGGGGAGGAGGAAGAGGGGGAAGGAGAAGGGGAGATCAACTGATATTTTAATGCTTTTTGTGCAAAGCTGTTTTAAAGGTTGCTTAAACAAAACACTGCTAAGTGTGTTCTATTTATATCTTATGCACAAAGTAAGGGAAAAGAATTAAGTTATCAACCGCAACAGACGTTTTAGTGAAACTGGATTACAAGGTCCAAAGCAACCATAACTTCCAAGTTAAACTGAGCTGTACTTAATCATTTCAGATGTCACTGTTTATTCCCTAAGTCGCTCCAATTCCAAAGTTGTTTTTTGTTTTTTTTTGAGGGCTATAAAAACTGAGAACTGTATTTGTAGCTATTTTTTTTTTTTTTATTAGTTCTGTCTCCTTTTCATGAACTTCTGGTAACAGTTTTCATAAGAAGCTCTTAACAAACAGGAATTTGAGAAGAGCACAGCTGCTTGCTAACTATTTGAAAACCTCCTAATTCTTGTCAGCTACATCTGGCATTAGAGAGGCCATTAGTATCAGCACCATTATGATCAGAAAAAGCATCAGTTTATTTTTATGCCTGTGAGCAAACATTATTAGCATCTTTCAAAGACAGCTTTCTAAGCTCTTAAACATGTTTTTAAGGTAGATCTCAAATTCTCATCACCATATGCTTTATGAAAGTGCCTTGTACAATAGCATTTTGTCAGAAAGTGATTCCTTAAAGCTTTAGATTTTCATTAAAAGGCCCAGTTTACATTACTTGACTCTAAGATTGCCCTACAAATTAAAAAGATGGAATCCAAAGACTACATAGTCAAATGGACCCCTCAAACTGAAGATAAACAATCCAGGAAATGACATCTCCTCTGTCTAGGCCTCACAGATAAGTCACTTGAACCAGGAAATATGTTATTAAAGTGATTTCACTGTTCACTTCCTCTTTCTGTTATTACAAAAGGTTCAGAAGCTAAACAGGCCCAAAATAGCAATTTCCAAACAAACACACTGTTGGCAAAGACAGCTCTGCCCACACCATTCCATTAAAAGGCTTTTGCTCTTGGCAAACAGGCTGAGACATTCTCTCAGGACTGTTTTCCAAGAGAAAAGTCCACATTAGATATTTTTGCACCACCATCCTACATCAAGAGAGACGGGGTCCCAACCACTCTGGCACCAGAAATCTCTGGGGACAACAGTGACTGAGGAAGCCAAACAGTGCAACTCCTACTGTGACAACGCCTGAATTAACCTTTTTTTCTTAAAAAAAAAAAATAATAATAATAAAAACAAAAAATCTTAGGAGATATTAAAACTATTAGATGTTTAAGTTTTTTTCTTTATGACAAACAAGGTTATAGCAGGGAGAATTAATGCTGGCTTCTAAATAACCAGCTCGATGTTAATTCTCAGCAAACCCACCAAAGCCCTCGCAGAATTAAACCATTTCATGCTGATTCTCATTTTCAAAACTAAAATACTTATTTGAGCCTGTCT